CTCAGTACATAAACTGGGGAAAGCTGGCCGGGGGGGCCGCTGCTCGGGGACTGGCTGGGCATCGGTCGGCGGGTGGTGAGCAATTGCACTGTGCATCGCTTGCTTTGTATAATCTTTTATTATTATCATCATTATTATTACTATTTTACTTTATTTCAATTATTAAACTGTTCTTATCTTAACCCACGAGTTTTCTCACTTTTACTCTTCCGATTCTCTCCCCCATCCCACTGGGGGCGGGGAGAATGAGCGAGTGGCTGTGTGGTGCTCAGTTGCCAGCTGAGGTTAAAGAGCACAACCCAGGTTCTGTTTTTTCAAAACACTGTATTCAAAAAGTATTAGATTTTGTAATTAACCTGCAAAGAACCTAAATAACTACAACCACAAGGGACACACTTACTTATTATATGCCTGGCTCATTTAATACTAAGGTAAGCGACTTCTGGACACACTCAAAATTTATTGCTCTATGTTTAGCCCTTTTCATACTAAAGGTAGCAGACTTCTGGAGGGGGGATGTCCATCCAGGTGGCTTCTTCGACAGGGAGGTCTGCTGCCTTCTTGGAGGGGGGGCAAGCAGAAAGTTTTAACTTCTCCCTGCTCCCTTCTTCGCAGGGAGAAGTTAAAACTTTAAATGAAAAAACAGCATTTTTGTTCCAGTTCCACTGCTGCAGAGTTAACGCGTGGTATAAAGGCAAGGATCTCATGATAAACAGAGGTGTCTTACCTAGAGTATGCGTTCAATATTATGGATATTGATATATAATATGTGTACTGTAGAGAGGGAGAAGAAAGCGCAGAAATATAGAAAGTAAGTCATAAAGGCCTGGATAGATGATGTTATGATTTTCACCCTGTTAGAGAAATAGCAGAGATAAATGGGTGTTGGCTACTATTTCCAGTTAAATGTGTTTTTGCCATGCAGCCAATAGATCCTGCCTCCGAGAAGAGATTTTTTACAGTTCTGTAACTCTTTATTCCAGTGCTTACTCCTGATCCAGAGCCACTAAGCCTTTGATGATGCTCAGAACCGTACTTATCTTCCCAGGCATTTTATTGAAAAAATGGTATCTTCTGCTACTCTTCAGGGGCAATGTGGCAGTCAGTAACAGTTTTCACTTCCAGAGAACTGTAACAACAGAGTTCATAAAAGTGTTCAAAGATGCTGTTAAAATTTTCTTAATCAGATAGCTTTTTCAATAAAAATGGATGCTTCCACACAGAAATGCAGGACATGCAATGGGATTGCCAAACACCTGAAAAAATGCCATCTGAAAAATAAAGAAAAAACAAGCTTTCTAGATGCCAAACCTTTAGTACTTCAATTTGACGTATTTTTGATTGTTTATGTTATATATTATACCTGATTTTATATTCACACAGCTTGATTGCACCAGACTACAAAGACAGAGCAAAGACGGAACACTGGTACCTGGCAAGAAAGGAGACTTGCTGTCTTTTCCACCAACGCAGCCCATGCCAGCCACACTGTACATCTATTACAAAAGGTGACTGCATTTGGATTATTCTTGGGGTGTTTTGACAGTACTCAAAACATTGCAGGCATTTTCAGACACTGAAGGAGGGAGTTTCTTTGTCTGGAGGGGCTGGCAGACTATCGTGCCTGTCTCTAAAGGATTTCCTTATAGACGGGACCCTGTGCCAGTGTGGATCTCTGATGAAATGAATATGAAATCAATGATAACGAATGGGGAGTTTCTAACATAGCCTTTAGGTATTTGCTGTATAGGAATATCAACCATATAGAGAGGTGCAAGGGCATTATTTAAGTAGACATGATACAACACTATTGTGAAAATAAAGTCATTACTTGTATGTCAAGATAGAGATCAGGGTTTAGCAGACCGTAAATTCTTCTGTGGGCAGCAGCTGTGGCTTACGCCTTTCCAAGCCTTTAAAACTGCATTGAACAAGTTGGAATAAAAATGTCTTCAGAGGGACTATTCTGCAATGACAGGAAATTAACTAGGTAACCTAACAGGTTTTTTCCATAATTCTTTGTTGGAACTTTTATTTTGTGAAAAAGTGAAATTGAAGCCATTGGCTAAATTGACACTTTAATTAATCGGGCTGTCTATTTAACTCGATTCAGCAGGTGGTGTAGAGTAACTTTCATTAGTCCCTGACACTCCAGCAGAGCTTGTGAACCTGCTGAAATGCATATTTCTCGCCATGTCCTGAAAAACACAGAAGTTTCCCTTTATTTTCTCGTTTTCTTGCTGATAGGTTAATTTTCTCCTAACATGATTTATTTTATGAGTGACCAAACTAATAAAGCTGGTTTATACATCAGCTGACAGAAGTAGGAAGAAATTGTTTAAAATACTACATGGAAAATTTGGTGATGTTCAGTCCTAAAAGCTAGAAATATGGTTATGTAGAAATCAGCAGAGAAGGGCCAACCATCTTTAACAGAATTTCTGCAAGGCCTTCTAAAGACTGCAGAGCTGAGAGACAAGTCTTTTTGTGGAGATCGGCAGGAAATATTAGGCAGCCCTCATCCTATATAAATATTGGGTGCACATTTAATAATTACATTTTTATGTGGTGAAGTAAGAGAATATTATCCATGAAGGAACTTTCTATTAAGG